TCAGAATTTGGTAGCTGATCTGTCCGGCTAAATTGGTGATTAGCGCATACACACTTCATCACGTGACGAGGGGACATGAATATTGTTCGATTGTCACATATAAACACATGTGCCATAAAGTCGCCTCAAAAACTCGAATGCGTCATTTGTGATGAAGAGTATTCAAGAGTTCATTTCTACAGTGTTTTGGTATTTTTTAAACGACGAGAATTCAACACGGTTTGTTAATTGGTCAGATGTCGGTCGACCCCTTCGCCGAGCTTAGCTGTTGGCTCGCAGACGTTTCGTCACCAGTCCAGGAGATATTACCTGTACGCTGTTGGGCTGGTCAAACAGTTTGAGACTTCCGGGTTTTACCAAGCCAATAACGAAGGATTTGATGCGGCTAGAATGGAACTAACGTGGTGTGTTCAGTAGGAAGTTTACTCAGAACTTTGTTCAACGGTGTCACCATGATAAGGTGACAGTTTAAAGATGGAGGTGTCCCCGGTTCTTCAATCTATTCATCAAGAGTCGCAATCACTATAGTTGTTTAAAAATCAATCAGGGTGTTGTGGAAATGTGCAAAGTTTTCAAACCCTTTCAATAAATCGATAAATACGTAAAGCTATCGTGAACTTCATCGCTGAAATTATAATCTTCAAGTTTAATTTTGGGTGCATTGATGGGATTCGCCACCAGTACAAGATGTATATGGCTCCCCTCAGCAACGTCCCACGATAGTTCTATTGATTCAGCTTGATATCTCCTGGTTTAAGGTACATATCGAGAACAAAGATCAACGTAAAGCGCGTGCTACCACTGTGAATTTCCAACGCCTGATCACTCGTCGACGCCTGGGAATTTCACACCAATCACTTAGATATAACATTGCGCAGGCCTTGAAATTTGTCCTACACAACTTACCTTTAATTGCAGAAAGAGTCCTCGTTATACTACTGTAATAAGGATTAAAATATATAGATAATTATACCAAGTAGTGTTTAAGTTGATGTGTCAAATAGACGTACAATTTTTCTGAGGCGCTCGTGGTTCAATCGATTTAACCGTCTAACCCCGAGATCAGACTATTTAATGTAATTTCAGCGTTCCAACTGAAGCTAGTAGGTGTTCTTTGGGTTATCAGATTCTCGCTGCCAGTGGGGGGAGGTTTGTTACCATACATGTTGTTAGTAGTCTCGTTATTTTGTTTTCATTAGCGTGTGGTTATAAAGGCGACTGTAGCCTATCGATGAATAATGCAAGCGAGGACTCGGAATGCTACCCTGGATGTACATTCTGAGGTGTGCATATTGATTTGTTTTATCACACACCTAAAACGTGGCCTGTTCATAGACGGCCCCTGATCTTTTACCGGAGGTTAGCAAATTATTATTGCGTTGAAATTCAAGACGCTGAAATGCCATGAGCGAGCCAATAGCTCAGCTCACATACCTCCTCATAGTTCATGATTAGTTTGAATCCATTGTTGTCATCGTTTGTCGGGTTTATTTCTCCACGCGATCTCACTTCAAGATTTCGACCTTCATTGTACAGGTACTGATTTGTCCAGCAATTAAAAACGTAGATTCGTGACGTTGCTGTTGGACTGAAATGATCTTAACGTTTAGCGGATAGCCCGTATTGGCTTAGTGTTTGTGAAGCGGACATACTGACATAGGGGCCCGTGGTTCGAGCCCAATCGTAGCATTTCAACTCCTCAAGTTTAGGTTTTGGTAACCTAAAAGTGTATCAGTATCGGTAGATAATTCTGCTTCAGAGTCACGTGCACAACCATGATTTACTGCTGGTTGCAATCAATCAATCGGTCAGTGAGCTGTTATCGATCTTTTTGAATTACTCCGCGCAAATCCGTGCAGGGCACCGAAGCCATCGCAGTTCTTGTCATAGTGAACTGCCTTACTTTTGATTGCAACTTCCCGAAGAAATAATGTCACACGCGGCACAGCTAATTTTCCCACCCTAATACATTTCCGTTCGATTGACGCTCAGCTTCCCGGGTATGAAAATGACAGCAGGAAACCTGGTTAGACGGATGACCGAGGCGAAAATAGCTAGAAAACCTTCAGTTTAAGTGCATTTTCCCAGTGCTATTGATTAATGATCTTGTGTCGATGGTGAAGGGGAAATGTATACGAAGTTGCTCTCCAAATCAGCACAGAATACGATAGTCGGATGCCGCATGGTTGGGCAAGGACGAAATTTGAAGAGGGGCCGCGTGACTACCGATTCTGTGTTCATCCATGCGGATAAATATGTAGGCCTGATCGTTAGTGTAGAGAGTGGGATAAATGTAGGCCTGATCGTTAGTGTAGAGAGTGGGATAAATTCATGTTAGTATTTATCTTTGAAAACCTAAACATGTCACTCGGATTGCGATCGGAATGGAATAAATATAAACATTTTTATTTCTTCTCATGATGGGGCCAGCTCGCTTCAAAAGTTATTTTTTTCTACACCATAAATTTCCCTTTGATAGAGTGCTAAAGTCAGTGGACTATTCAGGAGAATATCAGTAGCTCAGGTAGCGTAGATGGTCATTGGTTTGTCCGTTGACCTGGGCAAGTTGGTACTTAACTTTTCGTAATCACTTAAGGTGACACCATCAGTTCATTGTTAGGTCGCGTAGTAGGGCGTAGCGATGGACCGGTGGTTGCGCGCTGAGTAGTGTTTTACGCGCTTTCAGCTGGGGCTGACCTTCGATCACAATTGATTGTTCGGTCTGACCATTCAATTGGTCAGTTTGTTGTCTTTTCTCTGATTGGTCGGTGAACACGCGACCAAGTTTATGGACTACCGGATGCCAGGCGAGCAAAGTTGAAATATTGAAATGCTCTTCCCTAGGACACTTGAGAGTTTACATTGACAGTTTTCGCCCATCCGGGTGCTGATAATAGAAATGGCTAAACCTCACGCATATCGATTATTCAATAAACGGTAAAGCGCCTTATATCTCTCAGACAAAGTAGTAGTGGCCATCAGTGAGCATATTTTACCGATAGTTTGTAAGGTTCCACAATATCACTTCCGTGGAGATGTCTACAACTTTTTACATAGCTTCATAACATGAATGTTCACTAGTGTGTAAATATTGTATTATTCTTTCCTGTGTAAAATGTACAGGCTGGGAAAGGTTCAGCATTCCCCAGGTCGAGGTGGGTTTTCTTGGAAGGTGAGACACTCTAGCCGATAGGGCACTATCGTTACCCTTCTAACTACGACCTTGAACGCAACGCCCAATATCCCATGGAGTGTAGGAGCATCCGCGTCGTATACCGTGAACTACCGGTTCTAAAAATACCGTGCAAAATACACTCGTGTATGGTCGTTGGCTTGAGCTGGGCAATTTGGTTGCAAACGTTTCATCACCAATCGAGGTGACATCATCAGTGCGTAGTTGTGCGTAGCGGTGGGTTAGTAGTTGTGCGTTGAGTAGTGTTACGTGTGTTGCTATCATGCTGTTAGCCGGGGATGAACTTTGACCGCGATTAGTTATTCTGTCGGGCGGCTCCATTGGTCGTTCTTTTATCCCCTGTCCTCATTCGCCGATGCCCACGTGACCTTTGAACTTGGCATCCCTCGCCGTCGTAGTCTAGTCGATGTTGGAGTGACCTTTGTCCTTCCAAGTTCCGGCTTGTAACCTTTATCGATTTGACTCCGAGGAGTTCCTTGTTCCTTCGTTTGTGAATCCACTATTCGGTCCTCCTTGAGTGTTCCGGTTGCGATGTTGGTCTTTTGCACGTGGAACTGCGTAAATTGGATCCAGTTTGTTTCACCGGTTGATGAATCTGTTTCCAGAAATTCTCTTCTGTGTCGCGTGTCACAGTATGCCAAATTCTTCGCGTTTTCCAGAGTGAATTTGTGGCCTTCATGGTCCTCGTGTATAGATATCAAAGATAGGGGATCGTGCATCCTGACAGCCGCGTTGTGTTCTTTTATTCGTCTAAATAATTTTTTCCCAGTTTGTCCAACGTAGAACTTGCTGCCATTGTTGCAGTTGAGTTGGTATATCACATTGTTCCTCCTGGTTTAGTCTCGGTTGTCCTTTGGTCTAGAGATTAATTTAATCACCTCGATTGGTGATCAAACGTTTGCAACCGAATTGCCCGGCTCAGCGAACAAGCCAACGACCATCTACGCTACCTGGTCTACCAAAATTCTCCCCTATGGAATACACTCCTGTGTTTGCTTCGTTCATTCATGAATTTTCAACTTTCATCCAATTCGTCGTATGGTCCGAAAAAAGCCACATTTTTATTCGGAGGGGGTATCCTGGTGGCATAACCTTGTTGCAAACGAATTTTGATCAGTGCACTAGGTGCAGACCCGCCATTTCATTAGGGTGCGTCAGTAAGTTTGTACCATTGTAGACCTAGTCAGAGCTCTCGTGTGCGCTCAAACTTACTAGCCAGGTAAAAACTATGCTTTTGAGAAATTTCTGGCTTTTTCGCCTTTGAAGAACGGCCGATGGGGGAGAAGGGGAAATGCCGCAATCGGGACCGTGGAGACGGTAGCAAGATTCAGCAGAAAATAAATCTGACTTTCGACCGTTTTTAGGTTATAAAACAACACACTTTGGTCAACTTTTAGGGAGTGAGATAAACCAGTAATGATTAGATAACAAAATCAATAGGAAATTAATCTGAATATAGCTATTTCACATGTGAATTCTAAAGTAAAACTTTGTATACTGACATAACAGAAGAGTAATTTTATTCGCGACGAAATTCCGGTTTTAAACGCATTTAAGAACGACCGTTCCTGACCAAATATTTACAACATCGTCTTCCGCATTTTATGTTTGTCTTGCTTATTTTGGTTTCGTTTGGAAATGCTCTTCTGCACCGTATCAGTTAGCAGATTTGGCTGAAAGCACAGTAAATTTACATTAGGTGAAAACAGACTCATCTGTTTTTACAACAAGTATGCTTGCAAAAGTTTCACTTCACCAATGTCAGCCATCCCTTTCCACTTCAGCAGGGTTCACACTGTGCGGATGTATGAAGAGCGCATGCGATGTTCGGCGCTTACCCTCCCATGTACGCATTACCGAACGCGGTCCGGTGTTGAAACTATACTGTCCAGTTGGCCTTCGACCCTTTGAGGTTGACCCCACTGGGGTGGTCATTCCATCGCGCGGTCGATTTGCTCGGTATATGTGCATCGACGGACAATACCAGCGTATTCACTTGAATGGGACAGATAAAAATGTTTTCTTGTGTGCCGGTGAGTTGCATCGATTTTATGTTGCAGGGTAACCAATCAATGTTATCCATCCACATTCCTTGGACTCTCATTTCAAATGAAGATGACTTCTCCTGAATATGGCTTCTTGGAGCAAATGACAAAATCTGGTATGAAGGGTTGGACTAAACACGTATATTGGATTTTCATGACTGGGTGCGCTACTTACAAGGTTTTTAAAGGCTCATTACCAGGCGAACAACGATTTCCCTGTTCTTGGGACTTCATCAGAAAGATCCGAGTATTCTTCAGCCTTAAGTTATTTCTGCACACTAATTTATACAAAACGCATCCCCCCTGTCCTGAGCATAACTTGACCCAATGAATTATCAAGTGTCAAGAAAAAGTGAGCGTGCGCGCCGACCGTGAATTCTGGTGGACACGGGAATCTACGGAAACGGAAGAGTTCCAGAAGGCCAATAATGACCAAAGATTATTTCAGTTGATCCGTGCGGACGGTACCCGGGGAAAGTCTGTGAGCGAAACCAACAAGGATCGGAATAGAATGACCACCTTGAGTGGAGAAGAACGCCTGAACCGTTGGATCGATTACTTTGAACGACAGTTATCGTGGCCATCTGCTGCCACTCAGCTGGAGCTCACAGTTGGGGTAAAGCCCTAGACCGCGAACTTGGAACCCCCTTAGACCTCGGAGGTTTGTGAGTGCATATGTTCTCCTAAGCGTCACCGAACCTCTGGACCGGATGACCTCCCAACCGCGTTGTTCAAAGATGTGGATGAAGTCCTCAGTCAGCGCTTGTCTGATCCGTTTACTTGCATTTAGGAAAAAAGTCTGTTCCAGACAACCGGGGAGAGTCGGTGATAGTGCAAGTTTTCAAAAAAAGGGGCTCGTAATGAGTGCAGCAACCACAGGGGGGATGAACTTGACCCCGGTCGTAAGGAGACTGTTGGCGTCACTGGTGCTTCGTTGTCTTATGGTGGCTCGTTAAACACTAACCCGAGAGCAGCAAGCGGGATTCCGGCCTGGTAGGGGTTGCATTGACCACTGACTATCAGGCAGTTGTAAACGAACCCTGCAAAGCATTCCTCCAGGCTTTGCAATTAGCGGTACATCCTCCATTAGAGGCGAGGCGGAATTGCGCAAAAACCACATACTACTCGCATGCCTCATCAGTATTATCCGCTGTTACTTTATCACCACCAAAAACAACAGCAACAATGAAAACAAAACACCAACACCACCAGTAACACAAAAACCACCAACATCGATCGACACAAACATTACGTATGATCCTTGAATCATCCTTACGAGTACTTGAGATGTACCCTGTAAAATGCCTTTGAATATTGAAACAGTCCTCAAGTTGGACCCGAATGGCGAAACATCAGTCTGCGTGTTGGTAGATAAACTAAACTGATTTGTGCGCAAACCACTGAGCGGGAATGGAAGAACTTAAAACCATGTCTGATTTGTGATAAGAATTCTCTAAGCTGTCTGGTTGCTCACTAGGTTTGTCAGTAGCATGTTTCTGAAACGGTTTTCGAAAAGGATACTGTAACACAATCCAGCACATTGCGTATTCTCAGCAAATTAATCCCCAAAAAGCGCTGTAACGCAAATGAATAATTCACAGAAGTTCTTCTTGGTTTGCTCCAGTGGGGAGTTTTGCCTAACTTCGAAAATATCGAGCATTTGGTAGTACTCTTATACCACAGCTGATAATTCAATAAATGTCACATGTTTCGAATATGAGTCAAGGGGCTGTCTGGCGTTCTTACACAACTCAAAGATGCGCGCTGGGTCGCGCTGTCTGTCGGGACCTAAATGCGGTTAGCAAAGCATTCAAATTGAAGACTGGTGAACGTAGCCTCACCAGGACATGGGTCGCTGAGATAGTTGGATTAATGGTCCTGAAAATGTGGCTAAAGTGCGAACAAATCGACCGCTTCTGGGGGATGAATACTGTGAGTTCTTTCTCTATCACTGGGGAAAAACTTCTATTGGGAGCGCTCGTCATCACCGAAGGCAAGAAACGCATCGACCACTGGAATTCGATCCACCTCCCCTGACGTCAGCTAGTTTAGATCCTGTTCATCTATCCATGTCCCACATCCCACATTGGCAACCAAAGATCATAAAAACTGTTAATATCAAACCCCTTTTTCAGCACTTTGACTAAGTATAACAATGTTACTCAAGTTTCCGATCTCTCGTTTACTCACTTATCTGTAAGTAGATTGGCTTAAGATTTCGTGTTTTAAAGGCAGGTGGTGAACGAATCAAATCCGCTGGCATTCGTACATCTTCGCAGGATAATTGTCTTTCGTATATCAGTTTTAAAGGTGACTACTTCTCGCTGATGGCATAAAGCTGAAATAAACGGTGAGATTCTTGCTTAGAATCAAAGCGGACCAGGAGAACTTGCAAACCCAAGCATCTTCATCTGTCGCAGTTAATATTACCAAATGAACATCTTGAGTTCAGTCATCATTCTACCACGTTGCATTCAAAGGTGGTTTTCAAAGGGGACTTGTAGGAGTATTGGCAATTTTTGTTTAGGGGAAGTCACAGACCAACTAATCTCTACCTCACGTTCTGTTCTTTAATGCTGCAGAATCTCGTTTCCATACCGCTGTTTTTTTATGTCCAACCATCTATTTCACAGATCAACAATCAAACAGCTGTCCAGGACTGAAAACACTCAGCACAAATGTGTCAGTCCAAATTCATCAGGGCATCGCCAGACTTGACTTCATTTTCAATCGCACTTTTGTGATCCTCTACTGTGTCCATGGAGTGTGGCACAATTTACACGGCCTGGAACTTCCAGTTGGTAGGTCTGACTCGAAAACCTTGAGAATGTTTTCCACTTTATTCAGCGTTGTGCATGTTGCACCTAAGTAACGATGTGTAAAACGTCGTTTTTGAGATTTTCCTATAAAATCCCTTGAGTCTTGGCGGTTTTTAAGTAGAACAAGACGGTTCTTGTTTGATTATTCAAGTTTCGGACCGTGGTGTAAAAAACAGGGTAACTGCGCGGTTCCAGACCAGCAATCGAATCCTAGAGAACGGGCTTTTACTTTTACACTGTCACATCTCACCAAGAGAACCGCGTAAGGGCTTGACCACCTGAATGGTCCCCACTGCAGCAGGTTACTTCTTGAGTAGGCGCGTGAAAATTGTCACAGATTACATCACTCCCTTCAACTTCGAAACAAACACACTAGGTTGCATATTGATTTGTCAAACGAGGGACTTTCCGAATTAAAATTCAGACATTTCCTGCTTTGTAAAACTGAGAATCCGTTAAACACGACGCGCCAATTTTACAACCTCAGCAGCGAGATTTGAACATACAGGAAGAGAGAAAAGCGTTAGTTAGAACAGCAGGGATTGCCCCTTTCGATCTGGACAGACTGGAAGTACTGAACGAGGCCTAGAAAATGTATCATCCGTAATTATGAGGTTAAGTTGCACTCTGACCATAATATGAATCACTAACAGTCCTCATGTGCTTTGGTGATCGATCCATCTTGCTCAGAAACCCGGCTTCGACAGACAACAAACTGGTGTGTATATCATTCTAACCAATACAAGCCTATTGTTGTTCAATCTTCTCTGTTGAATGAACAACATGTCAAGGGATGGAAGATTGTCATCTTTCCATCAGAAAATTCGTTGACAGTAGTATCGGACAGCGAAATTTACTGTCAGCCACTGTAATTTCAGTCTTTACTGCAAATTTTGAGGGAGAATTAGGCGCCTCCCGTTCGGAATTCCGTCAGGTTTGAGGATCCGTTACTTCCACCAACACCCGGTCACCCACGGATATCTTGTGGATGGCACACATATGATCTGTATGGACTATAATCAGGTGTGTGGAGTTCTCCAGCCAAAACACAGGCTAGAACAGAATCCTTTATTTCAAGGCTGAAGTAACACAAAACGGTATCATCTAAATTCCATTCGTGTTATACCTGCTGATTCGACAATCTGTGGTATTTGCTGCTGACTCGCTCCAGTGCCCGGTGCCGAAAAAAGATTCACAGAAGGGAACACAGCAGCTATGTTTCGAACAAACGAGTGCGAGAGCAAAAGTTAAAAGGCCCCACGCTATTTAGAGGGGACTTTCTGACATTGATCCAGGCTGTCTGACAGGGGTTAGCGAACACCCATTGACATCGATTCTACCTCTATGAAATGCCTGAAAGTTGATCACATTCGGTCGTGCCTCTGTGGCGTGCAAGAACACTCATCAGGTTTTGCTGAATTGGTTGAATGATTGACTGGCCTGGATGCTTGCCGGATTTCCTGTTGAGATTTTGGTGAAGCAGTAGGTTCCGGGTGTTCTGAAGTTGCTTTCAGGCATCTGACCTTCCTGATAATAAGTTAATTTGATCATATTTGAAGATCAGCTCTTATCGCACAACGTGGATAATGAGCCCGTAACGGCGTATGCCACCGATGGAACATGCGAGTAGTGTCTACTAAAGAGTCAAAGCCCTGATGAAAGCTCATTACTGAAAATATTATATTATATCCGAGGAAAGTCGAAAGAATTCAATTGGACGCTTAGGAACGTTAATTTTTCAAAAACTCCGTGCAACTGAGAGTTTTACTATTGTGTTTGATAGCTTCTGACCGCTTGGATCGCATTGGTGACTGTGCAGCTCCACACCGAGTGGTACTCTTCATTTCAAGGCTGAACGAACAGGACGGCACCCACGTTTCAGCATCGTGAGCTAAAACAAACAAAGCATGCGCAGGTTAAAGCCTGTTCAAATATGGTTATTAGGAGAACCAGCTCCGAACGTAACGGGACTACATAACTGCCAATAGAATAGCCGTTTATCGTTGAGACAGACTTCATAGGTGTTTCTTCACTCGTCCTTGACAGATGAGTTGTATTCTAAGTATCACTGTTGACCACGTGTACGCGACAGTGATCGATAGATCCGCCGGTTCTCTCGTTCATTGACTTTTTCTAGTTTGGCCGTGTGCACCAGGCTATGAATCGGCCATCCAGACCGGGGTTCACAGTAATAAGAAGGCATTAAGAAGATTGTGGTCCTCAACAAGAATAGTTAGAAAATTGATTTTTTAGGGGTGTAAACGGAGAATAGTGCCTAGAATTTACGTGGTACTCTTGTCACAATTGACAATTCCAACAAACAGTGTGACATCACACTCAACTATTTTAAAGTTCCGTTGTCCAAATAGCCTGAATTTTGTAAAGATGGCAACTCTTGTTCGTCGATGCTATAAATCCAAATTTAGTGGGAACTAGAAGGGGGTCGCTTTAAATTCAGAGTAAAATCCCCCCCAGTGCTCTGATGGCCTTGAGCTTTACAAGCTTTATTGTTTTGTAAATTTTTGGTGCTTGTCGGATGAGCAAAGCAACTACTGTCCTGTAAATTCTACATGATCACGTTCTCATGAAAAAGGCCTCAAAGTTTACCAGTTCACATTCAGGAAATGTCAGCAAATATCTTGGAAGAGAATTACTCCCAAACGTGAAAGCATCAGCCGTAACTCCCAACTGACAAACCAGGTCTGATTTGGAAAGCTTGCTTGATTTTGCACCATTGGTTGAGGCCATCCACATTTATTTTCAGCAGTAGCACGGCTTGGAAGAGCTCCCAAACGTGAAAGCATCAGCCGTAACTCCCAACTGACAAACCAGGTCTGATTTGGAAAGCTTGCTTGATTTTGCACCGCACCATGAGGCCATCCACATTTATTTTCAGCAGTAGCATGGTTTCGAATGAGTCGTTTCTCTCTTTTCTTCCATATTCTTTCGCATTCATCGCTTGCATTCACTTTGTATCCTTGTGACCATGTTCTTTAAAAATGAATGATAATAATATGATATGATATAATATAATACAATGAATATAATATAATATAATGCAATACAATATAATATAATATAGTATAATCAATATATTTTAACATATATTATAGTGTAATATAACATAACATAATATGATATAATATGATATGATATGATACGATATGATATGATATAATATAATATAATATAACATACCATGGTACGAGGTTAGAAAATATGGCGTATTATATCGTATACTATAGTGTATGATATAATAGCGAACGAGGGTCCCTGTTCTAGAGTACAACAGCGCAGCGGACTGATCCCAGTTCAGCTTCATTACCCTCTTTCAAGGAAAGTAAATCCTGGACGGTAGTTTTCCTAGGCTTCGTCGTAGAAATTCCGAATGCATATTGTAGACCAACATCCGTGAATGACTCAAGGCTTGTATGTGAAATTTACAGCATTGATATTTTCTGCATGAACACCACCCGCTACTAGAGCCCGATTTGATAAATAAATACCACGGCCACTCATCTGTTTGATTTAATTTCAAGAGTTTTCCATGGTCTGAC